AGGATTTAAAAGAAGAAGGCAGAATGAAATGCATAGCACTTCATGTGTGTGCAGAAGATGTAAGGAAGGGAGTGAAGGTAGTTAATCCAGCCCTACCACTCAGTTTGGGGTCCTACTTCTGCCAACTCCCCTTTCAGCTTCAGTGCCCTGTGGTAGTCCCATGCTATTATAGTGCATCACTAGACACTCAGAAGTGCATTACTGAGGCCCATTTGCACAAGCAGAAGTGTTCATGGTATTCTGGATCCTACTTTATATACATTTTTCTATCATATAATTTGAAATCAATATTGGAACTTAAGATAGAGGAAAAAATTCTTCCATGTGTTCATGTAAATTGCTACCTTATTATTTTAGACCTCTAAGTTTAAGATGATCACATCTACTGCTATTATCAAGTCATTTAATGTACATTCTAGGCTTAGCTTTGGCACTGATCCAGGATGCCTCAAAACAAAATTTTACTTTTTTATATTAGCATTTTAAAAAATAATTTTCAGTCTTCTGGTAAAGCATTGAAAATGTTTAGGCTTTGAACAAATTTCTCTTTAGCTTCTTCAAATTCTGATAATTATTTTTCAGTCTGCTTTTGAAATCTTTCTTAGTCTCAAATCATATACCTTTTGTTTGAAGATTGCTTGTTTGGACTTACTTTCTTAAATTTGATTTATATCTTGTATTACTATTTTGATATTCTCTGTGTCTCCTGACATTTTTTTCTGGGTACTTCCACTACTCATAATTTACTCACATATGTCCAGATAGCTGTACTGGATTAAGAAATCCTATGAAAGTGGAAAATGAATACATCTATCAGAACTGATTTTGTCAGTTAAAACAATGGGTTGCATAGTTCCCATCTCCAAACAGTAGATTTCCCTATTCTGTGACCCAAACAGCAGACTGTATCCTTATTTCCAAAAAGATATATATGCACACATTTGTTGTTGTTCAGTCGCACAGTCGAGTCCGACTCTTCGCGACCCCATGGACCAGCTCCCGCCACACATATACACACATACAAACATACATACATATTTTACCCCCATTCTAAAAAGAACTTATTCTTTCCGTGGAAACTTTCATGTCCTAAATAAAACTTTTTTAAAAAAGGTCCTAGGTAGAACTAGTACATATTCCATGTGGAACAGTGTGCCTACTGGCCCTACCCTAGCTATGGACCTGTTGGAAAAAACAGTATTGTTAATACTTGATTTATAGTACACAGTGATTCCATACAAGTAGTGTAAAAATTATATTGCTATAGGATTTTGCACCATAATTTGTTTGAATTACTTTCTCACCTTTCAAAGTTCCCTCCCCACAAACCCCTCAGGTTTTTCAGTTGCTATTAGTTGACATACTTTATGCATCTTGATTGACATTCTGTAACAGACAAGAGAAGATATACCATTTTATTGGAAAATACCATTTTTCTAGGTTGCTCATATGATTCCATCTTGGCTCCATCCTCCTTTTCTTTCAATACCTCCAATATTCCTACTTGCAACATACATTATTTTGTATTGATTATATTTTTGCCCTGCTATTCATTTGAGGAGGTTAGGGCAGCATACATGGGGGTCATCTCATTTTAGCGACACAAGGACTATGTGAAGGAAGTTAGGCTGGGGGGATTGATTTTCTCTTTCATGTCCAAGCAGGTTTCCCACATCCAGGCTCCAGTGCACTTTTCCACATTAGATCATGTTCAGTTCAGCTAAAATGGGCTGAACATCTATTTGCCTTGGCATTAACTGTTGTTCTTTTCCCCCCTCCCAGGTTTTGTGGATTTAGCACTCCATGATCAGGTACATCTACTGGAATGTGCTTGGCTAGAGATATTGATGATTGGCTTATGCTGGCGTTCAATGGAACACCCTGGAAAGCTGCTGTTTGCTCCTAACCTATTATTAGACAGGTCAGTCTACATTTTTTTCAGTTTCTGTTATTAAGTTAACTCACTACCATGTAACATTATGAGGATCACCTAGACTGCCAAAACACCTTCCATGAAGTACCTTACTGCAGCAGCAGAGACAAAATATCCTCACTGACACTGGATCATTAACAGTATTTTATGTGTACTTGGGGGAAACTGGGTCCAGGTCAGCACCCCCCTCCCCCCAGTAATTAATTTCTGTGTATGCAGTTGCTAACAGAATAATGTTATAGTAAGATGATGAAAAGCAGAAAGGTATTTTTTCCAGATAATTTTTCTTTACTAGTCACCTAACCACCACCTTAATATGTCCTGTTTTAATGCACGCAAATGCTCCAAAATAAGCCCAGTAGTGAACTTATTTTGGGGGGAGAGAGTGGGGCAGTGATTGCCAGGAGGACAGTGAGGTGAACCAGTTTTGCTCTGTACTAATAGCAACTTTAAAAGACCACTATTGATATTTGAAGAAGTGTCGGTGAATCAGCAGATGACATTTGTTGAGGATAGAAGAGCCTTGGAAAAATGTGTTGTTTGCTATGTGTCAGAAATCTAGGCCAGGGTAAATTTATTGATTTGGAACTGCAGGCAAGATGCATTAGTTACATAGTTTAATATTGCTTTTTCTGACTCTGTAAGAAGAAAGTTAGCCTAGTGGTTTTTCTATCAGCCGTTCCCATTTCCTAATTCATAACAGCAACAATTGTAGCTCCAATACTTCAGGAATCTACCAGTTCATTTGTCAATGTAAGCAGCAGGTGATTTCTATCAGATCTCTAAATGATCTGAAAGGCACAGTAGAAGTGGCTTAATAACTACACAGTGTTCTGCTGTCACATGATTTTGTGTGTGCCAGGAGGACTTATCATAAAAGCCTGGCTAATGGCCTGTTAAATCTCATATCCAGCGTTTCCAAATATCTTTATATGAATGCTTCAGGGGAAAGTGGGAAAAGCTGATGGCTTGACCACTGCCATAGGCAATTACTTGATAACTTCTGTTGGCAACACTGTCAAACATGGATATACTGGGATTCTGGGCTCCTAAAATTTAATTCCAGCTAGCCTGTAAAAATGCTTCTGTACATGAAACTAATCATCACTCACTTGCAAAGACATTTATAAAAACTTACAAAGCACTGGGGAAAAGTACTGTTAAGTACTCAGACACTCAAAAGAATATTTTCAGTTCAATATTTTCATTGTCCATGTGCAAATTGAAAATGGTACATGATGATGGGTACAGCCCGGCTTCTAGAATATTCAGTATGAACTCCCTTTTGGAATTTATGTGTTGGATGTACGATACACTTTTTCAGCCAGAATGTCTAAGCAGGTGGATCGCAAGCAATACTGTTTCACCATAATATTGTACAACAACTTGAGTACCAGTAGAATCCCGTTTAAAATACAGCAGCTACAACTATTCCCACCATGCAGTTTCTTGTGTTAGCTAACGGGAACACAGGACTCATGTCTATCAAACAGCAGCCCTGCATGTTACCATCCAGCCCCTTTATGTTGGTGTTTGTTGATCAAAGAGGAAAAAGTGAAAAACACTCGACCAAGTACAATACTTTGAGTGTGCTTATAGTAGAATTTATATGGCTGATAAACCCATATAAAAAGAAGTAGCCCTCTTAGGGAACAAGCCTTAGCAAGTCTACTTGGAAGGAAGCATCATTGTATTTAGTGGGGCTTACTCTCAGAAAAGTGTTTTTAAGATTTCAGCCCTCGTCTACTAAACTTTATTTAAAATATATATATTTTTGCTAAATAACAAGGCCTTGTGCTATTTCTGAAAGGTCTGCAGGGCTAGTCTCAGCAGGTGTTCTGTGGTGATTTATCCTAGAAATTAGAACAGAAAAGGTGCTACTGTGCCCCTACCCCAGTGTATCTTCCCAGAGGGAAGGTGTGCTCAGCAAAGTCTTTCAAGGTAATCTCAGAGGATTCTGAACTTCTATAGACAAAAGTGCTCCATGTCTAGGCAAGTACTGACATTCTGAGTTGATTGGGAAGGGAATGGATGATCAGTGCCTTGTGTCATGCCTTGTGTCACAGAATTAGATGAATGCATTTCCCTCTCTCAGCCCCAATGAAGAGGCAATCTGTGGAATGCAACAGCAGCTACATCTACCATGGTTGCGGTCACACAGAGCATTAGCCACGCTACAGAGACGGAAGATAGGCGGATTTTCTGGGCGTGATCACAGCGCCACATCTGGGAAGCGTAGAGCTCCCGTGGCGAACCCGAGGCTTCCCGCCGAAGATTCGGGGTAAAAAACTAGTACCTCCGAGGTACTAGTTTCCGGAAACCGCGGGGCAAGGGCGGGCGCCTGATCGCGTTTCTGGTGGTAGGTCGTGGCATCCGGCACCCGCCCATGTCCCCTCGCAAAAGGGTTTTTTTTTTCAAGTCTCCACGGGATGCACACAAGCACCCAACGTCGCATGCGCACACTTCAGCCCCCTCCTCTTTTCCGTACCCCCCCACTCCTGGCTCGGCCTGCTCGAGAGGAACTCTCTGCACCGGGCAGCAGAGGAGGAGGTGCAGGGGGGCGTGGCGGGGGCTGAAGTGTGCGCATGCGACGTTGGGTGCTTGTGTGTACCAATTCTGAAGGACTGGGACCTAAATTTCCCCGGGGGAGCCCTAATGCTGCTAGACCAGCACTGAGGACACTAGTAAATGGGCACCTGTTTAGTGGCACACAGTCTGAGTGAATGAAGAGGGGCCCGGGGGGGGGGAGGCACACTGATAGGAAGGCTGAGGCAGCCCATATTAGGCAAGGGACTGGTCTGAGCACCATGCAGAGTCATAAGCACACACCCTTATTCTTCTGGCCAGTTTTAGAAGTCCATAGGCCTTCCTACCATGGCTTTGGAGATGATGCCCCAACTCAGCATTGAGGCAGGTATTGGAGGACCATGTTGTCAGATACTGTCCATGGGCTGGGGCCTCTGGTGCTAGCAGGAAGTTTGCCATAATCAAATAGGCATGGAGAGTGGAAAGAGCAACCAAGTTGAATACTCCCTGCATTATGGATTGTTCCCAAGGGCCCAGAGTTCTATTGGGAATGGGTCCAGGTGGTGGTTCGGCTTGGATGCCACTTTGTGGAACTTCTCCTTCCTGAATGTGAGATAAGGCATTTTCAATGCTGTTATCAACAACAGCAACATGCTGTGCTGAAAATGTTGTGTTAGCAGACAAGCAAACGAGGACAAATCTGTGCACTAAGTGCATAACCCGCTCTGAGCATGGTGTCTGCTTACTGATGACCTGCACTGCCACCAAGATTGGAAATAGGTCCAAAAAGGGAGGTCCCAGCCCAGTGAGGTAGCCATGGCTGAGGGCACCAGTGGCTTTTGAAGGAGACCTTAAAGCCTGTGCTACATGCAGTGTCTGACTGGACCTGGATAGCCGATCCTAAATCTAAGGATTCCCGCCACAAGGAAATTCCACAGAAATCGGACAGGAAGGAGAAACAGGTTTTGAGATCCTCCTTCACGCCTTGGGTCAGATACAGTAATGTGAGGAAGTTACCCCTGCAGTGGGCATGGCCAGGCAGATGCAGAAGACCTGCCTTGGGGACACCATCCAAAGCTTTGCCCTGTACATGCATGGCTACTGGAAGAGTGATGGAACAGCACTCCTGGGGAAAACAACGCTCTTTAGATGGGTATCCTTTGCCTTCACAGGCCACAGGAGGGGGGCCTTCATGTTCTATGAAGGCAAAGGATACCCATCTTAACAGTGTTATTTTTCCTCAGCAGAGTAGGTGTCCAAAAAGAAAAACCACTGCCTCTCAGCATGATTATTCATTCCCCAGATGTGGGGTCCCATCTCCAACATTCCTTTAGAACTCAAGAGGATATAATTAACACCAGAGAGATCACTTTTGTTATTACCAGCTGCATTACATAAGCCAATGTATGAGACAAATTCATGAAAGATATATCGTATAATAGTTATATTGCCAAGTTCTGTTGTGGATGAGTTGTTGAAGCACTTCTTGTGAATTAAGTTTGGTTGTTGAGAGTGCTGGGGGGGGGGAACTTACGCCATATATATTTACAGAAAAGTAAGCTTGGTTCCAGAACAACTGTTTCGCATGAATTCATCACTTACTGCAGCACCCCATTCTCCTTTTAATGGCCCATACTGCCTTTCTCAGTGCACCACATGCAGAGGTGTGTTTGTAGATGAGCCCTTTCATTTATTCAAGATGGATAATGAAGAAATTTCATAAATACGATCCATTTCTGATTCGAATTGGTTTTCCAGCCATCCAAAATTGAAATACGAAAATTCCTGCAGTGCAACAGAATGGAAACCCAGCTATGGGATGTTTATTTATACCTTTGTAAATTGTTGAAAATGTTTTAAGAGACTTGTAGTGATTCAGTTTCTTGTTGAAAAGAACAAAGCAAAAGAACAGAGCAAATACGCTGCTCTATTTTACCAAGTGCTTATTAGGAAAATGAAAGCAGTGTGGGTCTTTGGTCTGAACCATTTAATCTGTGATGAACTGCTTGTATGCATTGCCAAGGAAACAAACATGCAACACCAACTGAACAAAGACGCTTGCTTCAAAACACTTGGGGGAAAACCCTGGTAACCTTCGATTTTCAGTGTACCTCTGAATGATGTACACGCCATCAAAGCATCATGTCAACAAATCATTTATACAGCAGAGCTGAAAGACTGTACTTTTAAAGACCCAGTATTGTCCTCAGAATAATTAGCTTCATTTCCTATGTCTGTCATTCCATTATATCCAAACTTCTCTTCAAATGTATTCTTTTAATGTGCAGTCCAGATAGATGAAACGGATAAGTACTGGTTCACCTTGCTGCATTTTTACACTGAAATGTGGCAGAACCTTTCATGCATGTCCATAATGGCGAATACATACCTATATTAACTTACTCAAAGTATATTTGTGTAAGCATTCCTGATGAAGGGACCTTTATCTCTCAGAAGCTTGTGCCCTGGACACCTTGTTGGTCTCCCAGGTGTGCTACTAGACTTGCAGTCCGGCTCTTCTACTGCAGACAGGCATGGCCACCCTCCTGAAACTGACCATTCCTGCCATTCATAACGCGGTAACTAAGATGAACTACAAAACACAGAACTTGCAATGAAGTCCTACTGTGGCAGGCATTCCTCCACAGAGGAAGAATTTCAGTTTCTAGATCTCCAGTTGTAAACCAGACGAGGGTTACCAACCTTCAGGTGGGGCCTAGAATTCTCCCAGAATTACAGCTAATTTCCAGACAACAGCAATCCGTTCCCCTGGAGGAACTGGCAGCTTTGGAGAGTGGAGTTATTAATAAAGCACTCTGTTTTGCAGGTGTTTGGTTGGTGTGATATAGATTATTTATAAATATTTTTGTGTTTTTTTAATTTTGTGTGTGTGCGCGTGAGTGTGTGTGCACGTGGAAGTCATGGCGACCTCTGGTGACTGACCCCCTACTGCGGGCCTGGGGGATATTCAGAGAGATGGCTGAATAAAGCCTGCCCCTGCCTTTCTCCTCTGGTATTTCAAGGAAGTCTCCCATCCAAGTACTTGCCAGAGTTTTTTTTATTATTATTAAATTTTTATTTTAAAACACTAATTCATACATATTATTACCATAACAACAAAAACATTTTCCTTCTTGCTTTAACAATAAAATAACAAGTTGAATGAGTTACATTTTTTTGCTTTACAACAAAACCTATATTTGCCCTATACCTAAATACTATAGTTTGGGTACTGTGTAAATAATTGTAACTTCTTTTAAGACAAAGAAGCCAACCTTGTACAATCTTCCAATAACCAATGTTACATAACACTAAACAATATGCATAAGAGAAGAGAAAACTCTCGCAAAAATAAAGAAGATAGACAAAGACAGGAACAAAATCCTATGAAATTCAAGAACTATTGTTGTTATATCCATTTGTGATATTGAGACCATTCAGGTGCAAGGAACTGTTTGAGAGACAACTAATCAAGTACTGGGAACCATTTTTCTGTAAAACTAGTTTTTGTGGGATTTTGCGACAGATAATTTAATTTATTGGTGACCGCATCCATTAAATTACGACCCCATAATTTTTTGTACCATACTTCTATTTTGGACGCTGTTTTCTCCTTCCAATAGGAAGCAATTGCTGCCAGAGTTGACCTTGCTTAGTTTCTGAGATCTGGCTAGATTGGGCTTGCCTGGACTATCCAGGTCAGGGCTATAATTATTATTTTTAAAATTACTTTATTTAAAATACTAGCCTGATACCCATGCTTCGCTACAGTATTTAAGTTCTGTAAATCCAGTTATAATACTGATGTGAAGTTTGAAATGTGACATTTGTTGTAGGAATTCTAGTGGAGAAGATTGTAGTGTGAAAATTGAAGTGAAACATACGTCCTTTTTTTTCTCTCTACCGAAGGACCTCTCTGTAGACCACATTGGTGGTTCTACCCTCAGGCAGAATATAAACCTTAAAAATGAACTAATAAAAATATTTATACCCTACCCTTTTGAACACAGTCCCCAAGGAACCTCATAATAGGTTAAAGCAATACCAGAAAGAAAACTTCAGGTGGAACATTACTCCTTGCTCATCTCTTGGACTGCATTCTCATGTCATGAACAAACCACTATTTGTTTGTGAGGTGAATGAACCTCAAGCCACATGCTTTCCCCTCCCTCCTGCTTTCTACTCCCTTCACATGGCAAGCACCACTGGTTTTAACTTTCTTTAACTTCCAAATAATATTTTATACTAAACTCCAAAAGTGTTTAAATTACATTGTCGAAGGCCTTGACACAGACCCAGAGAGTACTCCATCTTTCTGTGTTACACCTCTGAGGATGCCAGTCACAGTTACTGGCGAAACATCAGGTTCTACAATGCCAAGACCACGGCCACACAACCCGGAAAATCTACAGCAACTAATGTTTAAATTACCTTTATTTCTCTTCTTATTTTCCTTTTCTACTGCACCTTTTGCTATTTCAGTGAGAGGCTGTAGCCAGAGGCCTCAAATAGAAACTTTCCCTGTAGTCTTAACACAGGATCCAAATTCCAAAAAGATGATTTACTCTGCAGGCTGGTTTCATTCCTTGAAAAATGTTCTTTGCTCAAGTGCTGACTGCATATTTGGATAAGCTATAGCCATAAATAATTGCTTTTAATCATCCCATTTTGGAAACAGACTAAGTGCAATAGTTCTTCAACCACAGACTTAAAATACTTCTACTTACTTTTGTATAATAACACTTAACACTTTCCTGGGAGTAAGCCCTATTGTACAATGTACACCTAACAGAGGTGGGATTTTCATCCTATGACCTGATGCCTGTTTCAGGGAGCAATCCTAAACAGGTGTATTGCTCCCTTGAAGCAAGAGTCAGAGCGTCGGATGAAATCTCACCTCTGTTAGTGTGATAGGTATTTGTCTTTTCATATTAGATATGATAGCTCACTTTGACAAGTTTGTATACACAAAGCATGTAACTCTTCAGAAGACACAGATACCATAAATGCCTTGTTCCTAATTGTACCAATGGCCTTATGTATGAGACCGAATGACGTGAATGGGGAAGAATACCTTCAGCAGTTTGTATATTGCAACATGGGTAATACCACCCATGGAATATGCTGGATTTACTGAACAGATGAGGCTGAAGGAAGGGCTGTGGCTTAGTGGTAGAGCATTTGTCTGATATGCAGAAGGTCCCAGGTCCAATCTCCGGCATCTCCAGTTAAAAGGATCAGGTAGCAGGTGATGTGAAAGACCCTGGAGAGCCACTGCCAGTCTGAGTAAATAATGGACTTTGATGGAGCCAGGGTCTGATTCGGCTTCAGGTGTTCATGCCATGTGTTGCTCAAGTATAACCCCCCCCCTTTTTTAAAGTACAGTTGATTAAGCTAATCATATTTGGGCTGCTGTTTATAGATACCTGGTACCTCTATGTTCATATACTTCTGCCAGTACTACCGGCGTGCAGAAGAGGCGGAATCTCCAGTTCGACTTGAAACAGCCATTCCTGTTGTTCACATGGGTTTCAAGTGTGAAATCACTCGAATGCCTCTTGGGACAGCACATCTGCAGACAAATTGCACTATGCATAGAATTATAGTCGGCAGCACTTTGCATCATTATGTAGCTGTGGGGAAGCTTGAGCGTGGTCGTTGCAGTTACTCAGTGGTGAGGTACGATCCGTGGCAGAGGAAAACAAGGGACCGGCACTTGTGTGTGGAAAATATTTCAAAACTCATCACCAGGTGATGGGAGTACAAAGAGATGTACGTGGATGGCTGCAGTTCTAAGGAACTCGGCTCAGTGGGCCAGCTTGCTCCTAGCCTTAGCATGCTAGCAAACATCCTCCGCAGGGCAAGCAAACCAAACTGCACTGTAAGTTTACCAAATATTTTTTTTAAAAAAAACAGCTTGTGTTGAAACTGAGGAGTCAGAATTTGTTTTGCAGTCTCCACTCTTATCAACTGTAGGTTGTTCGCAAACTGTCTCAGGTGAGGCTGACTGGAAGATAAGTAAAAAAATGACTGTAAAGCAGGAGCTACATCATTAAGGTGTTGCTGGTGTCACATTAATTCATTTCACTCAAGTACGCGTACATGCATGTACACGCACATATATGATCTGTAACGTATAGCTCTGTCCTTACAGGAATCAAGGGAAATGTGTTGAAGGCATGGCAGAAATATTTGACATGCTGCTGGCCACTGCGACTCGGTTTCGAATGATGAATCTTCAGGGGGAAGAATTCGTGTGCCTTAAATCCATCATTCTACTGAATTCTGGTAAGTGATCCCTGGTTCTATACTGAGTCGCTCCAATTAAAAATGTATATTCACTACTGATTCTGCTGAGAATATGGAACTGTTCTGGGTGCCTCATGATTATGAATCAGAAAAAAAAACCTCTGTAGGTGTGCATGTGTGTCAAATTCCCCCTCCCCCAAAATGTTCTGAAATGTAAGGCTAGCAGGTAGGGCTTAAATACTATTCATAGGGCAGGTGCCTGGACAGTGTCATGTGGCTCCTGTCAGCTTGAGCTCAGGCCAAGCCAAGCCATACCGGGGATCTTCCAAGCGGATGCATGAAATGCCTTTAGCAGGCAAGTTTTCTTGGGGATGGGGCCGCGGTGGCTCGGAGGTTAAAGGCACTGAGCTGCAGACCAGAAGGTCTGTAGTTCGGCAGTTTGAGACCCGAGTGCTGCGTGACGGAGTGAGCTCCTGTCTCTGGCTCCATCTCCTGCCAACCTAGCAGTTTGAAAGCAAGAAATTGCAAGTAGATAAATAGGTATTGCTTCAGCGGGAAGGTAACAGCGTTCCGTGCGCCTCGGTGTTTAGTCATGCCGGCCACATGATCACGGAAACGTCTCTGGACAACGCTGGCTCTTCAGCTTGGAAACGGAGATGAGCACCACCCCCTAGAGTTGGATTTGACTGGCTTTCAAGCAAGGGAAACCTTACCTTTTACCTTTCTTGGGGAACTCATTCAGTACTATCCTAAGGGTACTTCTTGATGATGTTTACCGAATCAACGGATAAAATTAATGAAGTGATGGGAAATTGGTAAAAGGAAAGGATTTGGGGCAGGGGGTTCATTTATGGGCGAGAAAGGGGTGGAAGGAGAGGTCAAAGGGAAGGGGGCTAGTCCTTTCCCTTCCACAACTCCTCCACCACTTTTGTGTTTATGTGTGTATGAAGGTGAGGAACTAGGTGGAGAGTAAAGGAGGGAAAATCCCTCCGCTTCATCGCTGCCACAACTCCTGGTGCATACCTGTGTGTATGTGTGTGTGCATATTTGTGTGAGTGTGTACATAGAGAGGCAGGTCAAGGGAGTGTATTTCTGCGGCTGCTCAAAATCCTTCTCCCATGTAGATAAATTTAAACACACATAAAAGTGTGTGTGTGTGCACGCATACTATGTGCATGTTTTTCTCTGTGAAGTGGCAGTGAGCATTCCTCTCCCTCCATTACCTTGCTGTTGCAAACTCTCAAACATAATTCCTGCCAAAGTTATTTGGAAAGTAGCCAGAAATTTAAAGATGACGGCCAGCACCAAAATGTATCAAAGAACCCTTGGCATGAATTACATTTGACACACTTGAAGAATCTCTGACAGGAACATTTGACCACCACCTGTTTATTCCCCACTGAACAGTTTGTATAGTTTTTCTTACTGTTAGAGCCTTATTCTCCTTATGAAATGTGGATTCATGGTAAGCCTTTATTTGCCTTCCGGGGGCGTCTTTGTATAGGGCAGCCTCTGCTGAGCAGTTGCCTGGAACCATGGAAGTGAAGAGCCCCCTGGCCCAGATGGTGTGATCCCTAATGCCCCTTTCCTGAGGCTCCCCCAGCATTCAAGAGACCAGCATGCAGAGGCGGATTGTAAATCACAATAGTGAGCAAGCGGTGCACTTGCACTAAGAGAGGAACTGGTCTGTTGCCAGGGCAGGGGGCTGTAGCTCTCATTCGTAGGAGCACATGAATTCTGAAACCATGACAATTCACACATTTCCCCTTGTGACATGTGCATACGACCTATGCATCTTGGGCAACCATTTCCCGTGGTTAAACCAGAGACTTGCCACTTCAGGGGTGTACCAGAAGAATGAAAGTGTTTCACCCTCCCCTCCTTGAAGTGCTTTCTGTAATAAATAAATAACATGTGCCCTTACTTGTCTTGGATATAAATGTCTGTAAATGCAGCCTTGGCATTTACCTCTTGCTCCGCAGCATCGCACCCTTGACTCATGTTCAGTCTGTTATCTGCTCTAATCCCCAAGTCCTTCTTGACTAGGACAACTAACTGGCCCATTTTATACTTGTTAGTTTGATTCTCCTTTCTGATGCGTAGCATGTTAGACAGTTTAATTGAATTAGCCTTCTATTTTCATTAGCCTATTTTCTGTGAATAAAATCAAAGAGCAGGCTGGTGTAGTCAAAGCAACAGGCACCAAAAATTATTGTGACATCAGCATTCCGTACGGGATCTGCAGGAGGCCCCACTTTGTATAAAGAAACCACAATTAATATGCATGCAGTCGCACAGGTAACTTTAGTCGAGGGCAGCACAGATTGAAGTTTGTGAATCTTGTATTTTGAAAAACCTTGCTAGGCAAGGAGTGATTATGGGAAACAAAGTAAGCATATGAATACTAAGGGTGATGTGAACAAGGAAAATTAGATGCAAAAGGCAGAGAAAAAAGGGAATAGGAATATAAAGGTAACTTTAAATGACTCAGTACTTTGTGTTTGAGGACAAGAAGAAGAAGAGGAGGAGGAGGAGATTGGATTTATACCCCGCCCTTCACTACCCAAAGGAGACTCAGAGTGGCTTACAGACTCCTTTCCCTTCCCCTCCCCAGGTTAACTGCTATCTTATTCTCACAGTAGTTGCTTCTCCCTAGCAACTTGCCGTAGTTTTACTATAAGGTAACTTTGAGCCACTAACCCCCTCTCAGCCTAATCTACTTCACAAGATTATTTTGAGGATAAAATGGAGGCAGGGAGTATACCACCCTGAGTTCCTTGAAGGACTGGCAGGATAGAAACGTACATAATAAATCTCCACTATGCTTCCTCACTTAAATGATCCTGGGAGATCCCACACTCTCTAGCACCGATAAAGAATCTCCACACAATGTAAACACATGTGGCCCTTTAGTAGGTACCGACATGGGCCAGTCTTGCCCAGTATCATCTACTCCGTCTGACAATGGGTCTTCAACTTATTCTTTATTTGGAGATGCCAGGAGCTGAATCTAGAATCTGCTGCCTGCTAAGCATTTCCTCTGCTACGGAACTGTGGCCCTTGCTGTGTAACAGGAGTCATGGCATTGCAGTAGGACTAGGAATGTCTGAACCTACACATTTTGCATTCTTTTGGAGTCCTTTAATGCCCACTGGCTTCTTTTTTCAAAAATATGAATGCGGGTGATTCTTTTATATTTGTATGATGTTTGTTTATTTTTTTTAAGTTTAAAATGGCTGGTTTAAGACTTTTTAAAATTGATTACAATGGATTCTGTGATGTGAAGTGTTAAAAATGTACTTTCTGCTTCCTAGAGCAGTGAATGGGCTGGCAGTATTCTGTATTGTTTTGGTTCCCCTCCCTATGACAAAGTGGAAGAACGAATTGTAAAAAAGGATCCTTCCTGTCCTGAAATTAGAGGACTAAGTGCCGGTGGATATTATTGCGAATTGAATCTCCCCTACCTGCCCACAATGAGCCTTGCTTGCTGCTCTTCTCTTTTTATTTGAAATTAACCCATTTATTTTTAAGCACCAAAAGTTTCTTAATTGATCAATGAGATCTGATTAAATTGATCTCAATTTAACGTTAATCAGCTGTTACAACTGTCAAACAATTTTTCACATATACACACAAACACACACAGGTAGGTGATACATAGAACTGAACAAAACTGTATAGTATTTGTACCTGTGTGTTTGACTTGACTTTGCAGCTCTCTCTGCATCTATTTCAATCCTGAAACATACTTAGGGAAGCTGATGGGAAGATATCTCTGTCTTTCTGTGTTCTGTCATTTGAATCAGACCTGTTCAACTTGTACCCATCGAGCTGAATGCATTCAGTGTGTGTTTGTGTGACCAATATCAGCGCTAATCTCTGTGCTAGCAAAATTAATATTGAGCTAAAGTAAAAGCTTTTTATTCTCCGCCTCTTCCAATGGAGAAGGGTGTAAGCTTTACTTGCACTTCCAAAATATAGGACATTTTGCCCATTTGTGAATTTTTTCTTACATCCAGACATTTGGGCAGATGCTTGTCTACTTGCTGCAAGGACAGCACCAGTATTTCATCAGCTCAGTTAAGGAAAACAGTGTGTGCTTAATACTGCAAAAAATGAAATGAACCCACTGATTTCCATAGAACGTAAATGCAATTAATTTTGTTTGGCTACTGGGACCAACTACCAGACATACCACTCAATAATAACTGAAGATCCTGGTTTTAAGTGTGTTAAATCTTGTTCATTGCAACGAGGGGGTGGGGGGGAGAAGGTCTAACTTGCACTGTGAATTTGGCTACAAAACTGTATCACACATCTATTATGAAGTACTGCAATTTGACTTTTATGGGAATTCCCAGGAGCTGATGTGCTGTGGCTTGCCGTCCAAGCACCACAGCTGTAACGCTTGAACCGCTTGCTGATGATTCGATAAAGGGTCGAGGAGCATGTGGCAAAGTGAGGCAGAAATCAAAGTTTACATTGGCCCCAGTTCCTTTGCATATGTGTGTATGTTTGCCAGAGTAAAAGGTTTATTTCCCAATTTATAACCTCAGAGGGAAGGCTGAAGGTTAAGTCCAGCCATAAGTTTTCTGTGAGATTGTAAGATCATGGGACACTATTTCACATGGGGGCTATTTCACACACCAAACCTTCCACAGAAAATTGAGATGGTGCAGTCGTCTGTGAGAACTATACTGCTTCAGCCACTGGACATCGGAATGCAGGCCAGGCTTGCCAGTTTCCTGATGGGGGTGGGGGATCTCCCACCCCAGCTCCCATTGCCTGCACTGCTCAGCTGGGCGATGGGAGGAAATGGGGGGGGTGATGACATTGCTTCCAGCATCACTCCAGGAGCAATGCTCTAGCATTCACCCCAAATCTCTATGGTTTAGCTATATGGATCCAAGCCTTTAGCTCCAATATGGAAGTAATTCAGTTATCTTTTCTCCATGCACTGTCTCGCACTCCCCCGATGTGTGACTGCATCAGTTCTCTGCCTTGAATGTGGTACAAAACAGCAAGCCACACTTCTCTGGTTTGCTACCATAACATTTAAACTGTTCTTGCACCTTTCCCACTCTCTCCCTCCTCTCTCGGTTTGGCTGTGCTGTGTCTTCTTCAGCAGTGCTTGGAGCCAGCTTGTGGACTCCAGGATTGTGCAGTTAGGCTTCTCCGTTTCAGGTTTGATTGAGTTCGGGCTAAGCAGCACTGGTAATTTGGTTTCAGAAACAGCACCAGTTACTTGACTGGGGACATCGTCTGTCCTATGCCATACGGATCTGCTTCCCACTGCATTTGGGCTTTATGCCCTCCTCACCCTTTGCTATGGAAAAGTATTTACAGTCCTTCGCAATCCCCTCATATCATTGCCTTTTTTCCCCTTGGCTGAGGCAGCGGGCATCTATTAGCTGGCCATGCTGCTGCTGCTGCTGCTGCATGAGATCACTAGGCTTGGCACCGGGCCATTCACTCCGGCTGTAGGAATCGAACTAACGTACTGCGCTGCCCACTCTAAATGTTGTAAATGTTTCAGATTGTTTTATTGTACTGCTTTATATGGTTAATTATTAACGCTCAACTTATTTCTAAGATTGTATTGTGTCTGTTGTTGTGAGCCACCCTGAGCCCGCTTGCAGGAAGAGCGGGATATAAATCAAAATAATACATCAATAAATAAAATGCACTACCGATTGTAGGTCTGGACGGTAGATTGACCAATTTTCCATGCAGATAAAGGATGTGCCCATGTGGGTCTCGGGTGCCCAAAACCCCGGTACATTTTTTCTTTCCATGCAATCTCTATGGCAGTTTCAGAGCCTCTTTGATAACCCCCTTTCTTGCCACAATGCGTTAGATGATTAGTTAATCTCCCATCTGGAAACTGTAATACTCTCACTGTTGCTAAATACATACCAATAGCTCTAAAAATCAGCCTTGGAATAACCAGGAAGTAAGCTTGATGACTGGCTTGGAGTCCTGATGGGTTTGAATCTATGCTACTTTGTAAAACTTGTATATTTCTCTTTCCTTTCATTTTTTTTTAGATGTTGGGTCCCTTGTTCTTAAGAATTTTAACCTGATCTTTCTTATGCTGTCTAAAACCTAATGTCCTTTATAAACTCTTTGAATAAACGGAATGGACTGTGACCGCTACACTGCACTGATGCTTCTGCACTTGTATTTTCTCTTTTCCTACAGGCATCTACACATTTCTTTCCAGCAGCTTAAGATCGTTGGAAGAAAAAGACCACATTCATCGTGTGCTAGATAAAATCACAGACACCTTGACCCATTTGATGGCCAAGTCAGGCCTCTCTCTGCAGCAACAGCATAGACGATTGGCTCAGCTTCTCCTCATCCTTTCCCACTTTAGGCACATGAGGTAAGGAAATACACAGGAAATGACTGGGAAGTGCTGTGCACTTTACAAGGAAGGTTTCACAGAATGTTGCAACGGACATCAAATCGTGACATTCACCCGTTTTTATGTGTGATAATCGCTGAAGAGTTTTGTGAATATCTGAAATGCACTGGTGAACCTTGACAGTAACTTTAACTGTGAGCACTGGGGAAGAGGTGTGGCTGAGCAGAAGTTGTTAGGAAGGACCTTGATATGCTTCAGGCCTTGGAAAGCTGCTGCCAGCCATAGTGGATAATACAGAGGTGGTGGTCTGAGGTGTAAGGCAGATTCATATGTCTGAAGAGTGAGGGGCCTTTACACCATTCACCTGAGATTGTCAATATTCACAGATATATTCATCAAATTTTTATGTGGAGGGCCAGATCTATTCTGTATCTTCCTCAGTAGCTGATGAATATGAAAATTCAGAGAGATTCACCAACTGGCAGTGTCATCTGGTCCGTTTCTGCAATCTCTAATCTTCCCGTTTCTGCTTTTTTTATGTTTCATTATGGTTCTTAGGAGACTGAGGAAAGAATCCAACATGGTTATCTGTTTGTTTAATCATTCTGTGCAGTGTCCAAAAGTATTTTAAATGCCTTATAAAAAATGGAATGGCATTATAAAATGCTACAGAGTTTAGCTATACTGGCACTGATAGATAAAGTAGGGCAACTGGATGTGAGAGTTGCAGGCAGTCCAGCCAAGATCTGCAAACAAACTAAGTTGTCCACCACAAACACAAACAGCTGCCATACACATTTGAGTCACAGGGCCCAGTTTGGTGTTCCTGTTCATGCATAAGCACACAATTGACTTGTACTTTTTGTTACTAGGATGTGGCAGCTTCTCTTTGCAGGCCACAGTGTGGAGTATATGGGCTGTGATGGATTTAATGGCCCACAGGTTTTACAGGCCTGCTTGAAACTGGGCACTCAGCATGGGCCAGTTGTTCAGTAATACTAACATTTACAAAACTGACTTTTATTTCTCCATGCTTATTTATTTTTATTACTTTTTCATCTTCCCCTTAATCCAGGGAGTTCAGAATGACACATGTTGTTTTCCCTTCCTGCATTTTTCCATCACAATAATTTTATGGAAAACTTTGAAAATAAACGGTTTAAAAAAACCCAATAATCCTGTGAGGTGTGTGAGACTGAGAGAGAATGGTTAGCCCAAAGTCACCCAGTGAGTTTTGTGGCAGAGGGGGGATTTAAACCTTGGGTTTCTCCAGGCTGAGCCCAGTGGTCTAACTCCTACACCCAGTGGCTCTTCCCTACTGCTTTGTTGCCTTTACTTATTTATTTCAGGCATTGGTATTTTGGTCTCAGGAGCTATGCCTTGGAGTGTACACGTTACTGTACATCTTCACTGTCACAGCACAATTCAGATTTCTTCTGGGTATGTGAACAGCACATCCAAAACAAAAGTTTTGAAATTGTGCTAATATTTTAAAATAGAGGCAGGGAAGGAGAACGCAAAAGAAAACTGGGTCTTACAAGTCAACATTGGGACTTTTCAAGTCACAAAGATCCACATAGGGGATCCCCCAGTTTTTGGGGCTTCTGCCTACCACCGGCCAACTAGCTGGCAGGGGAAAGCCTGCCCCCAAACAGCAACATCGCCGTGTGACATCTCCGATGCACTGACATCACAGAGAGGTAACATCATCGCACCGGGGACATCACATAGGCAAAACTCTGTGGTTTGATGCCAATTTTACCTTAGTGTTCTGCCCAAAAATGAGAGCATCACAACCCGATCTCCCCAATGCGATGACGTCACTGCTGCATGACGTCAGCGCGTCATTCCGCTCCACTTCCTGAAAGTTCCCTCCCAGCCGCATGGACATTGGACCAGGCAACCCTACAAAGAACTCTAGACAGTTCTAAATACTGAGGACTGTCATGCAGAAATTGCACACATATATACATAGCAGTAAATTATAGCCATGGCTCAGTGCTTGCAGAAAGCATGAGGTTCCATTCTGGGCATCTTCAGTTAAAAGGATTGGGTCTAGTAGGTGATATGAAAGACCTACTGCTTGTCTGAGTAGACCTTACTGGCCTTGCTGGACAAGTGGTCTGAGACAGCTTCATGTGTTCATATGTGCTGCCCTTTTCACGGCATCCCAAAGTGAGTCCCTGAGGCAGACTGCTTCACTATGTTTAGTGGCAGGGTCAGTCCTAGGACTAGGATTTCTCTGTGCAATGATATCTAATGTTGGTGTTTTTTTTAATGTGACTCTACAGCAATAAGGGAATGGAGCACCTGTACAACATGAAGTGCAAGAATGTGGTCCCTCTGTATGATTTATTGCTAGAGATGCTAGATGCCCACCGTCTGCATGCCCGTGCCACACGGAGCACACCCCAGGGAGAAGAAGAGTCTATGAACCAAGTGGCAACTACATCCACTTCAACGCATTCCTTGCAGCCCTGCTATGTGAACAAAATGGAAGATGAGAATGAGCAACAAGCAATATGAGAGGCCCCATTTCAAACAGCCTATAGGTTTCTGAGAATCCCATCAGAAAGCTACCTACTTCGGGCTTAGCTGAACTGGTACCATGTGTGTAAGCACTCCAATGCTCACCAATCACCAGTGATCCCCAAAGCATTGCTTACTGAGATCCTTAGCGGAAGAACTTTTATCTTTCTGGATATACTATAAGGATGGTGACATTTGGTAAACCCACTCAAGAGGATTTCGGTAGCAGAATGAGAATTTGGGTACCAGTGACCATTTCCTTTCACTCATCTGGGCAAGGATCCCAGCTGGGTTTTGAGTAGGTGATGTTTACATGTAAAGTTTATTGGCTGATGGTGAACCTCAAGAATTCTACACCAAATTAACTAAAGAAAATGCTGTTGAAAATCTTCATCTTTCAGGACTCCACCCTCTACCCAAATATTTAGCATTTCCTTCTGGGTTTTTCTTCATTTACAAATTGACTCAAAATACAGTTAGATGAATTTTATCTGGTTAGAAAAACTGTTTATGACAGCTAGAAGTTCTGGTTCCAGCCAGAAATCCCTCAGATAACTTTACGGGAATAACAAATGGGTATTAGGTTGCAGTAGCACCACCAATTCCTTGTCTTAGCATTACAGAGCTTATCCTAGTCAAGATGGAGGAGGTAGTTTTATGCTTACATGAGGAATTCTCTGTTAGAACGGATCTGGCTCTTTACGTCATCTGAACAAAACAAATGGATATATTAACTATCACAGTCTGGTCCAAATGAAAGGATTTCAATATAAGACAGCCATTCCTGTAGTTGTCTAGGAATTACCTCTGCACTGACCATTCAAGGAGATAATAGCCAGTGACTGGGATTTTAGTACAGAACAATTGCATATCACCCTGAATACCTTAGGATGGAAATAAATCATATATATAAACTAATAGATATAGACCAGCTCATACACTACCTGAGAGACGAATGTGGTGTTTTCCTGTGGCTACATCCCAAGACCAGGGGCATAAACATGGGTGTGTGGGAGGGGGAGGGGGGAGATCACGTAAGACATTCTCACATCAGGGTGACTGGCCCTAAGGGAGGTATTTGCTCCTGTGATTCACCCCTTAACTTGGTTTTGCCATTCAGATTGGCAGTAGAGCAGCATGGGGTGCAATCGTAGGAAAGGTGCAGAATTCCTCCTTGGGCGTGGTATGAACTGGGCTTTTTAAAAAGAAAGATAACGTCCTAATTATTGTCCTGCTTCAGGCATTGTAGGTCTGTTTAATTCTGTCAATGCTGCACAGGTGGAAAATAGTTTGGACTCTTCGGTAACATGAGCGATGCCCCCGGTCCGTATTGTGTGTTCCTTCTGTACAAAAAGCAACTGAACTCTGTTAAGAAACCACTTGCAGATAGGAGGAGCAAAGACAGCTTGTGTTGCGCACTGCACCAGAGGTCAAAGTCTGCTGTTTGCTCACACACAAACGGTCCCTAACCAGCGGGGCCCAGCACACATGGAGGGGGGCAGAAAGGACTGCAATCTGCGGGTGACCTTTGGCTGTTTCCCTTATATAGTGGCCCTCCCCTTTGCCCAGAACTTACAAAAACCAGTAAAGCACTAATGTTGTGAATAGTTTTCATCTCGTCTTAATTTAACTATGCTCTCACCATTGCCTCTATCTCAAGCTTCGTTTCCAGTGGCCTTGCTTTTTATTAATGCAGCAAAGTATTTGTCTTTCTGTGCATTCAATATGTAAAAAAAAAGTTCTGCTCTGAAATTACCCAAAAACCATTGGGGGCTACTAAGTGCCTTGTCTAAATTTGCCACATATTTATTTTCAAGAGCTCATGTTGTGGTTTATTTCTGTGTTAGTGATACACCCGTGTTTATTGCATCACATAAGCAAGAAGTAAACATTTATATGGGGCCCACAATTAACATAAGAACCCAGTACTGTCCATTTGTATCATAGTGCTTATAACACCAGATACATTTCAGTGCCCAGTTTTTACAGTGGGATACTTTTAGCTGTTGCCCCATATTCCCCCCCTTATGAACAGAACTATGCTGCATGAGCTTCCCCATTCTCTTTCATGGAACTGGTAACTCTGTTGAAGGGAATCAGAGGGTTAAATACCTGGTAGCAGTTCTTCTGTTAAAGGGACAGGGGAAGCATTTTCAGGCACAAGAACTCCCCGTGTTCCTTGGATACCCACAAAGCTCTGGTTTGGGGGGCAGTGCATACAGCAGAAATAAGCTGTCATTGATCAACATACCTAGCAACTGCCGTAGTTCTCCCAAACAATAGCCCGAATTATTTAAACAGATCTGATTTGGGTAATTTACAAAGCATTAATTTTAACAGACTCACTAAAACCATTGACATGTGAAATAACACAGGCAACTCTAAGGGGGGGGGGGGGGGGGGTTTTAAAAAAAATTGAAAGCATCATTTTATCATTATTATTGAAAGCACCTTAAATAATGTGTATGCTTGTATGCCTATAAATACATACATGCGAAGCTCACCTGTCAGACAACTGAATGTATCTGTTCTATTTACCCAGTCAACAGACTAGAACACAAAGTCACATTTCATCTTTATATTTTTCAGCTACTTCTCTCGTATGCAATCATTTGTGCCTAAGGCTTAGCCATTGTTAGGACCTCCTATTTCATATAGATTTTTATACCGATGATACTCAAGCCAGCGCTAACTTAGAAAGCCAAGTACCGAATACAAGGAAACTATCCTTTAACAAAGGAAGGACATTTGAGGCAGCTAATTATGCTTTTAACCAAAATATTAGTGATATTGTCCATGAATAGTATCTAAGGGGACAAGGGTGGTTCTTTTTAGATGTTTATACTTAAATTTAAGACAACTAGAAAAACACCATAGAAGTATAGGTAATGAAATACGACTATGCGCCAAATCAGAATAGATCTGATTAACTTGCCTTACCTAATGCCAGTAAAGAGACTTACTGTAGAGAACAAGAAGGGATGCAGAGTGGAAGTCCTTTCCTACTCTTTTGGGGATAAGTCTTATGATCCTCACTAGATAACAAAGCCATTCTTGTAGTTAGTGTGCCTTTGCGCACCCTTGCTCAGGCAAACCTACCCTTGTGGACAGTCACCATCCGTCGGTTATCCTCTACTGCGTGGCAGGGAAATGCTTTTCTGTAGGCCCAGCCCACCACTGTATGCTGCTAAACACATAAGACAAGGGCAGACCTGCTGCTCTGCCCTTCTGCATGATCATGGACTAAGTGCAGGGATCTGTGTGGAGCAGAACAGCCACCGTTCACTGCAGTGCAACCCACACATTGCCCCTTCCAGACTGGCAGGCCACGTTTGAATGCGAAGGTAGGTTTGCATTTGCAGCTTACTGCAGGGATAAATGCTCATCCACACCAACACATCGTGTAGTAGTGATTGCACACAGCACTCTTCTGTGTGTGGGCATCTCCGGAATGAAACAGTTATGGAACAGCAACAATTACAGTTGCAGCTCCCTGACCCTGCAGTGCATGAAGGCTTTTGCCATTGCACAGCTGATTAAAGGATTAGTTGGGTCTCAAAACATTTCAGACGAGGATAGCTCCATTTATGTATAAAGCACCTTTTTTTCCTTAACATGTCGCTAACATTCCAGGCCAAGAAACAGTGCTATTTGCCTGAGTTTCCTAGACAATTTCCATTAACCAGTAAAAAGTTCTCTTCCTGCATGTAATTATAGACCCAGTCTTGCTCCACTGAAAATCAGCTGGCCCCTACGATATACAACTGGTCTAAACAAATCCAGAGACAGAGCCCTGTTAGACTGCTGCAGCCGGGATGACAAATTTGTTGTGGCATACATTCTGGTGAGGCAGAACCAACCTCTTCAGATGATTGCAGAACAAACAGCTCTTAATCGGATGCAAATTCCTCTAACATTCTAAACAGTTTGCTGTTCTGAGGTAAAATGTGTCCAATCTCCAGGTGAGGGCTGGAGATCACTCAGAATTACAACTGCTTTCCAGATAACAGAGATCAGTTCCCCTGGAGAAAGTGGTGGACTCTGTATCCTTATATGCTGTTGAGGTAGCCCCCGTATGACAGCCAATGTGACGTAGCAGTCAGGGCTTCAGAGCACGGGAGAGACTGCAGGTGTGTGGGGGGTGGAAAGCTGAAGAGTAAGGGGGAAATAAAGGTAGATTGATGATTGGCTAGGAAGGAGATAGGGTTGCCAACTCCAGGTGGGAAATTCCTGGAGATGTGAGGGATGGAGCCTGGAGAGGGTGAGGTTTCAGGAGGTGTGGGACATCAGACAGGTACAAAGCCATAGACTCCACCCTCCAAACCAACCATTCCCTTCTGGGAAACCATCGTTGCCAATCTCCAGGTCTGGAGATCACTCAAAATTACAACTGCTCTTTAGGTAGCAGAGACCAGTTCCTCTGGAGAAAATGGTGGACTCAGTGTCATTATACCCTGCTGAGGTCGCCACAGCAAATTGACACTGAGTGTCCAAGGCTGGGGCACCCGCCCAGAGCCTCTTTCTAGAGATCGTTGTATTTATTTCCACAATGGGCCTTTTTCCTAGTAAGTCCATAAAGTCCACCCTCTAAAGCGGCCGTTTCCTCCAGGGGAACTGATCTCTGTAGTCTGGAGATCAATCATAATTCTGGGTGATCTCTCGGCCTCACCTGGAGGCTAACACTCCCACTGTATCCTGTTCTTCACTAATCTATCACAGTATAATGCGAGCCAATATTAACAGAACTAAGTGTGTGACAACAAAGTGGCAATTCAAACCCAGGTCTCCCAGCTCCTCCTTCAGCCACAGCACCCCACTGGCTCTCTCACACTGTACTGCACCCTTAGTAGGGCTGCCAAATACCCCCGGGGGGCGGAATTCCCCCCGCTTTGGAGCCCCGATTTCAGCCCCCACGGAATCGGGGCCTGGGAGAAACCCCACCCCCGCATGCACGTCACTTCCCTGTGATGTCATCACGCTGGGGCGGGGCACAGCCATTTGAGGGGAAAACATACGAGTTGCGCACCAGGAGGCAACACAAAGTCCCCCGCCGGCACAGGTGGCGGCTCCCGCCAGGCCCATCAAACCTTTTCCCCCACCCCACCCCCAGCACCAATG